GGAGTGACAAACTATTTCCGAATATTTAGTCACTGAAAACCTTACGAATAGCAGAGAAACACTGTCAGATATAGTGCCGGAAAATGAGGCCCTCAGGTTGAAAGGCACTCAAAATGTGACTGAGGAAGAGCTGCCTCATCAAAGTAGAGTTGACTGTGATGACGCAAATGGAGTAAAACCCATGTGACAAAAGCCCACGGGACCTTCATTTGCTGATATGGCACAACTCAAAATGTAAACATCCACTGAAAATCGGAACATGGAATGTACAAAGTATGAATCTAGGAAAATTGGAAATTGTCAAAAATGAAATGAAACACATAAACATCAATGTCTTAGGCATTAGTGACCTGAAATGGACTGGTATTGGCCATTTTGAAACTGACAACCACATGGTTTACTATACTGGGAATGACAAATTGAAGAGGAATGGTGTTGCATTCATTGTCAAAAACAACATATCCAGATCAGTCATGAGGTACAGCACTGACTGTGATAGGATAATATCCATGTACTTGCAAGGGAAGACCAGCTAATACCACTATTATTCAAATTTATTCACCAACCACTAAAGCCAGTGAGGATGAAATTGAAGAATTCTACCAACTTTTAAAATCTGAAATTGATCAAACATGCAATCAAGATGTATTGATCATTATTGGTGATTGGAATGCAAAGGTTGGGAGCAAAGAGGAAGGATCAGTAGTTGGAAAATATGGCCTTGGTGATAGAAATGATGCTGGAGATCGTATGGTAGAATTCTGCAAAACCAATGATTTATTCATTTCAAATACCTTCTTTAGACAGCATGAACCTCGCCAGATGGAATACACAGAAATCAAATAGACTACATCTGTGGAAAGAGACAATGGAAAAGCTCCATATCATCAGTCAAAACAAAGTCAGGGGCAGACTGTGAATTTGCTCATATGCAAATTCAAAGTGAACCTGAAGAAAATGAAAACAAGTCCATGAGAGGCAAAATATGCCCTTGAATCTATCCCACCTGAATTTAGAGATCATCTGAAAAACAGATTTGATACATTAAACACTAAAGACTGAAGACCAGAAGAGTTGTGGGATGACATTAAGAACATCATACAGGTGAGAAAGCAAAAAGTCATTAAGAAGTCAAGAAAAAAGGGAAAGGTCAAAATGGATGTCAGAAGAGAGACTGAAACTTGCTCTCCAACATAGAGATGCTAAAGCAAACAGAAGATATGAGGAGGTCCAAGAGCTGAACAGAAATTTCAAAGGTCAGCTCGAGAAGACAAAGTCAAATATTACAACAAAATGTGCAAATATCTGGAGTCAGAAAACCAAAAGGGAAGAACATGCTCAGGATTTCTCAAGCAGGGGGTACTGAAGAAAAATTCAAGCCTCGACTTTTGTTACTGAAGGATTCTATGGGCAATTATTGCATGATGCAGAAAGCATCAAAAGAAGATGGAAGGAATACACAGAGTCACTGTACCAAAAGGAAATGGTAGATGTTCAACCATTTCAAGAGGTAGCAGATGATCAAGAGCCAATGATACTGAAGGAGGAAGTTCTAGGAGCATTGAAGGAATTGGCAAAGAACAAGGCAGCAGGAATTGATAGATAAAAATTGAAATCTTTCAAGAAAGTGAGGTGGCACAGGAGGCAATCACTCATCTCTGCCAAGAAATTTGGAAGACAACTATCTGGCCAACTGACTGGAAGAGATCCGTATTTGTGCCCATTCTAAAGAGAGGTGTACCAACAGAATGAGGAAATCATTGGACAATATCTTTGCTATGCCATGTGAGTAAAGTTTTACTAAAGGTAATACAGAAACGGCTGCAAACATACATTGACAGAAAACTTCCAGAGGTTTAAGCCGGATTCATAACAGGCCATGGAATGAGGGATATCATTGCTGATGTCCAATGGATCTTGGCTGAAAGCAGAGAATGTCAGATGTTTACCTGTGCTTTATCGACTACGCAAAGGCTCTCGATTGTGTGGATCATGACAAGCTATGGACAATATTGCAAAGTATGAGTATTCTGGAGCACTTAATTGTGCTCATGAGGAATCTGTACATGGACCAAGAGGCAGCTGTTTGTACAGAACATGGGAACACTGAATGCTTTCAAATTAAGAAAGGTGTGCAACAGGGTTGTATTCTTTCATCATACTTATTCAAGCTGTATACCAGCAAATAATCCGAGAATCTGGATTCTATGAAGAAAAACATGGCATCAGGATTAGAGGAAGACTCAGTAACAACCTGCAAAATGCAGATGATACAACCCTGCTTGCTGAAAGTCAAGAAGACTTAGATATTTACTGATGAAGATCAAAGAGCACAGCCTTTGGTATGGATTGCATCTCAATGTAAAGAAAACAAAAATCCTCACCACTGGACCAATAAATAA